TGAAACGCCATACGGCAATATTCATCCAGCAACTTAACTCGTTTAAAAGATTGATTAAAACAATAACTAGATCTAGTTCTCCCCGCTTCGATTCTCTTACCGTTCTTATTACATTCCAACCGTCTCTTTAGTCAGCATCATCTTTACATTATCATAATAATATTATAGTACGGCATGGCAGTGGTACTATGTTTTACGACCGCGACGTAAGATCGGAAACATACGACTGTAACCACCCACCATTGCAAGAATACTATGAGAGGATCTTATCATCAGTCATGCTGGTAAAAGCAAGAAGTCTAACGTGGGAGAGAAAAGACTGCTTATTAATAATTCTTGTTTTAGGTGCCGGATCCATCTTTATAGTAATAGATTAGAATAATTTCGACACGGTGACGTTTTTTGCAGATTTGGCAGCGATCTAACTAAATATTGTTCGATCAGTCACACCACTTTGTGATGAAATCTTACTTTTTAGGCTTTGCTACTTGTCATCTGCAATTCACAAGACAGCAATCGTTCGACGAATAGAATACATTGACAATGAACTCGGAAGTATTGGCTCCCGGCGAGAAAGAACTTCCTTCTTTAGTCGATTACATAAACCCGCGGTATTGGTCACTCACATATTATTATCATATCACAGTTAAAATGTAATTTAGTATCTACTAATTATCTTAATCTAAACACATAAACCAATAGCGACTTTGGTAGCCGAGTAGTCCACACGAAGCCTTTACGACGTATTCCTCGATCTTCATCGCCGGCTGATTTAATTCCACCTCATCCAGCACCCGATCAGAGTCATATACCATTGGCCGCCCCATCTGACTCAACAGATCGCTCTCGCATCATCTTTTCTTCACACTCTCGCTCAACGTATCGCGAAATGTACGACTTATTACTTTCTCTCATTAATAACAAGATTATAGGTGGAGACATGCCTCAGGAAGTGGTAATGGAATTTGCAGAGAATGTATTAGAAATGGCTCGGCATAATAAATGGTGCGATAGTAAAAAGAAAGAAGCGATACAAAAATTGTTACCAGAAGAAGGGGATATGGGGTCTGATTTGTTCGAGGAATTGATTGGGGCTGCTGAGGCCATAATCGAGTTTCCACAAGTTGAAGAAGAAAGGAAAACTGGTGGGAATGGGGCGAGATCTGAGGGGAACGTCGAATTTCCGACAATGGCGGACGATAATAGGGTGATTGAGTCGTATCCTGCGTATGGTCCCTTTATCAATGCAAGTGAGATTGAGGATGAGCACGAATTGAAGTTTGGCATGGAGTATGATGAGTCTATTACTCCATACAGTACTGACGAAGAATAGGATGTGGGAGGTGATAGAAAATAATGGCCATTTCCTCTTAATCCTTGAAAATATGTAAGAGCGTAGATAAAAATTAATGAAGCTGTCGGCTGTTAGATGTTAAATTCGTAGCGTATTAAAATATGGTTCAATAAATTACAACCTTTTTGGTAACTTAAAGTACCAGATTTATGACAATAAATGGACTCTTGGTATGCTATTACCGACGCCTAGCAACATTGTGATATCTTGTAGAGCCAAGGAAATTGAAACACGATTGTTTACGGCTGACATACTATATAGTAATCATCATCGCGATAATCGAGTATTGTCTACCGGTTCCTTGTTATTCCCCGTAAATAATATTATTAATATCAAGTCTATACGGTTGTGATTCCATAATTATCTTGCAGACAGTTGACATGTAGTTGACTCGGCCAGCTTTTCTTACAGGTACGATGAAAATACTTGAACTAGCATACACATATATAGTACATTCGATGTAACACTGAGATGATCTCTCTGTGCTAGAAAAGTTTTTTTATTCAAACCATGTCGTTAGTTCCAGAGGACATTCATAATCTAGCAATTGACGGCTTGATTCAATTCTCCTTATCAAATAAACATGGTCAGAAACTTGAATGGATTCATTGCTCACAAATTACCGACATCAAATCAAGTCAAATTGACAACGTCTACTACGCTCGTTACGACGGCGGCTATAAAATAACGCTGCTATGCCTTGGAAATAGCGAAGAATGTACACCAACACTTGTGAATAAGTTTGCTAGGATATACTCACTTCCAACACCAGTACAATAATGATATCAGTCAGTTCAGAAGATATAAAAGATGGCTTGAGCATCGCAACAAACTCATAAACGCTTCTACCACTGTTATTCTCGATATGGATTCTGCTCCGCATGTGGAATACTCCGATGTAGTCCTGTGTGGTGCGTTTGTGGACATAAAGAGTT